ATCCATCCATCCATCCATCCATCCATCCATCCATCCATCCATCCATCTATCTATCTATCTATCTATCTATCTATCTATCTATCTATCTATCTATCTATTATCTATAACCACAAGGAGGGAAACAGATATGTGATAGGGTCACAAGTCCAGGAGTGGTAGGCTAACAGAATCCAGAGCTGCCTGCTGGGGAGTTTGAGAATAGAGTTTCATAGTTGCCTCACATTGGTCCAACCCTACTGGATCGTCATTGTCACACACTCCTATGAGGTGAAGCAATAAGGGACCCAGAATTGATGAAGGGAGCTTTCTGTAGCACAGTCAGGTTGGTAAGAGGGTTGACAGATGACCACTGCCACCACTGCAACTCTCAGGAACCAGAGAAACATGTCCTACCTTGGTTAGAGACATAGATGGGTCTATCATGCCATCAACAAGGGAGGGTCGGAGCAGGGAATTCACATACTAACTGTCGCCCATCATTGGATGACTGAGGAGGTTCCTTGGTGCTTTGACTTGTAGGATGTTGCTATAACAACCAGAGAAAGACCTCTAAGTAAAATATACAGGGGAGGTGGATGGAAGAAAATATGCAAGGACTGCATGCAATTTCTTGGGATGTATTAGTAATCACACATGTGTACCCCATGGTTTGAAGAATGATCTACTATAGCCACACCCCTTTATGTGTATGGGTTGTTTTGCTTTCATGTATGTCCTTACAGCATTTGCATGCCTGGTACCCTCGAAGGTCAAAATAGGGCATCAAATCCCTAGGAACTGAAGTTACAGACCATTGTGAGAGGTCATGTGGGTACTGGGAATTGAACCCAGATCCTCTGCAAAAGCAGTCAGTGCTCCTAATTTCTGAGCCATCCATCCAGCCCTCATGCTTTCAGTTTTGAAGGGGTTTATTAAGCATATAGCAAACCAAAGTAAAAGAATAAATAGCAAGAGATGTGTAGATAGATACCAGAACATCATCAAATTAACTGTTCAAAGAATCAAACAGAAACCAATGAAAGAAGCCCCTTTAAGGCAGTCAGCTGGAGTTCCCAACACAGGGAGCCCTGGGCAGAGTAATAGTGTTCCCGAGTGAGGCTTCCAAGTAGGAGAACAAATAACAGGGAAAAGAAAACACCATTGAGGCAGGAACTTACAAACGCACAGCAGAAACCGAGTGAGGAAACTCCATCAAGGCAGCCTGCTGGAGCTCCCCACTCAGCCACCAGAAGGGCAAAGTGTCCCTCAGGCAAGGCTTTCAAGAAAACAACAAAACAAAACAAACAAAAACCCCAAATAGCAACAGCTTAGAGATGATTTGTCAAATTTGGTTGCTTACAAAAGCCATTAGAAACTGACCGGGGAAGTTGAGGCAGACAGCGAGATTCTAATTGAGTTGTCTCTCCAATGCTGTGAAGGGTCCAGAAATAGGAACATAGAAATGAAGGGTCCAGGAATATAGAAATAAAAAGTTGTAAACCTAAACACATATTGAAAAAAAAAACAAAGCGGGCAGCCACTGTCAACCTTTAACAACCACTTTCTGCCTTAAGAGCAGACATCCTGGCAGCCACTGTGTACAGAGGCAAACTTTTAACAACTGTCTCCCGCCTCCCAGCTTCCCAGATAGGCAGGTACAGCAGACAAAGGTTAGCTTCTAACTATTGCCTCTAAGGGTCCCTCTGCGTTGTATTCCCTTACTTTCCAACTGTCCTCCTACACGACTCTATTCTTTGCCTTGCATTTTTTTTTCAGGGACAGTGAAAAGTGGCTGCATCAGTTTTAGGCGTCCGCCAACATCCTAAGTCAATATCCTATAACCAAAAGTTGTAAAACTTAAAATGTAATGTGACTTTAAGCCTGACCTCAAGGTTGTAAAAGTTCTTTGACCCACACTTGGTGTTTGATTTACTCTAAGAAGAGGCCTCAAACCAGTCCCCCATTGCCACAATTTCATGAACCCGATCTCTGGCTGTGGTCTCAGCTATAAATAATAAGTTTTTTTTTTTGCGGGGGGGCCCATGGTGATTTTTTTCTTTTTCTTTTTCTGGAATAAAGCTTGCTTCTAGTTTAATATACCTTGGTGGTCTATTCCCCATCATTCTGTGATCCTGGGGACCCAACAACTGAACTTCCCATGGGTGAACTTCTGGCTTCTCCGTTCTACTTCCACACCACGGGATAAACAGAGTAACACCTATTGATAACAGTCACCCTCTAGCTGATCTCAAGGATGCAATGTGTTTACTCTTAAACTGTCTTGTTTATCTCTTTCCTTTGTGACTTGGGTGGAGGCTGCCCCAGCCTAGACAAGGGTCTTTGTAGGACACTTTGAGGCAAATAGGCTGTGGTCTGAAGTGGTATTACAGGGTGTGATAGTTTGAATAGGAATGGTCCCACAGACTCATGTGTTTGAATACTTGGTCCATAGTGAGTGGCATGGTTAGGAGGTGTGACTCTGTTGGAGGAAGTGTGGTACTAGGGGTGTGCTTCAAGTTCTCTTTCAGTTCTCTTCTGTCTACCTGAGGATCCAGATGTAGAGCTCTCAGATCCTTCTCCAGCACCATGTCTGCCTGCACACAGCCATGCTTCCCACCACGACAATAATGGACTAAACCTCTGAAACTCTAAGTCAGCTGGTGCGGGAAAATTGTCTGTAATCTGTCAATCATGCTTTAAATAAATGCTGATTGGCCAGGCATGAAGTATAGGCGGGAAAACCAGACAGGAAGTAGAGGCAGGGCGGTGAGAACAGGAGAAGGCTAGGAAGGAGGAAGCCCATTCCTCCATTCCTGCCCAGACCACTGAGAAGCAAGATGTAACCTGCCCAGCTGTAAAAGGTACTGAGCTGTGTGGCTAACACAGATAAAAATAATAGGCTAACGTAAGTTATAAGAGCTAATAAGTAGCCTGAGCTAATGGACCAATCAGTTTATAATCTTATGGAGTCCTCTGTGTGATTTTCTTCGGGGCTTGCCAGCTGTGGGGTACCGGGCAGGACAGATACCCCAACAAGCTGGCCCTCCATGTTACAGTCAGCCCCAATTAAATGTTTTCCTTTACAAGAGTTGCCATGGGCATGGTGTCTCTTCACAACAGTAGAAACCCTAACTAAGACAGCAGGAAACCTTAATTCCAGAACCAGCATCTCTGTGGACTCAGACAACACATGACAATTTATTAATATAATGTATATTATAATGATATGGTTATATAAATGCTACGGACCAGCTCAGGGGGGCCACTCAGACCGTAGGGAATCAGGGCGAAGGCACAGGAGAGATCAGGATACGGCGAAGAAAAATGACACACAGACACTCTCAATATTGAGGCATGCTGTGGCGATTTACTTACTTCAGTGCAGGATTATATATTTTTTACAATCAAAGAACTTGGCAAAGGCATACATCATCAAATCATAAGACAGAAAAGAACAGCATAAAATAATTTACAAAAAGAATCTTTGAAGATGCTTTGACTTGGGCACAAGGACTTCTGCTTTCTCACACTATACAAAACAAACTCTCTCCTCTTGCCTTCAAAGAGATCACTGCCCTTGAGCTAGACCATCTTTATCAGCTTGCAGGTGGCTGGTTGGTTTGAGCTAAGTGACCTTGTGTGCCTGAGTGAGAAAGAAAAAAGGCTACTATCTCCCTGGGAAAGCTTTCTGCTAGGAAAATTCTAATACATAGTCTTGAGTCTTTCTGAAGTTTACTTTATATCACTAACTTCAACTTTCCTCCCTTCTCAATTCTCAGGCTCAGCTATTGTCAGTTTAGGCTAGGTCTTTTTCTTCCCATAAGAAAGGTTTCATAGGCCTGTTTACAATTGCACATATTTCTCAGGCAAATGCCTAAAGCTTCTAAGATGTATCCTAGTAAAATTAACTCCTTTTGTTCCATATCATCAAGGAATTGTCCTAATGATGATTCTGGCAATTTCAGAACTGGCTACTTTTTAAAGGCTTTGATTAATAGCGGACCAGAATTCAAAAATGTCCTTAGCAGTCTTGTTTGTATCCGCAACTGCCTGGAATAGTCTGATCTGTTAGCAATATGCAAGAATCACAAAGAACACACAGACAAGGGAAAAGACACACATATGGCTCCAAGGACAGCCAGATCGAGTCAATACTAATGGCAACTCAGGTAGCTTTACACCACAACTGGTTGCCAGGGACCCGCCTGGAACACACAGCTCCTGGAAGCACAAATCCCAATCCTGCCGGCAATATTTGCCCATCCAGTCAGCATTTCTGCTACACTGGCGAGACAGCCGTGAATGTAGCATGTAAACTCTCTGAGCTCAACAAAGAAGATGAGGGAGATGAATGGAACGTACCTAGCCTGTCAGTGTATCCCATGCAACTTTAATGTGGTTAAAGACAATGACAGGACCACAACTATGCCAGTAGGAGTTTGGAGACATCAAAGGAAGGCCATCAGTTGTCCAACACTATAGTGACTAACAAAGGAGACTGATATGTTTTGGAAGCAACACTAAGATTTCCATACCCATAGATAGGGGAAAGGAACTGGGAAAAGCACAAGCAAAAACCCACTGTCCAACAGGGATATTTAGGCTGTGGAAGCTGCAGAGAGGGGCTTTGGCCATCACTTGCTGGAACAGGTAGTGGAGGATTTTTTGCAGATCCATAATTTCATGTCATCACATTTGGCATCATTCCAGCCATCATCTCTGAATTCCACACAGTCTTGTCCCTTAAAGTTGTTGGGCTGTCCACTCTTCCAGTACCTCTCAAATCTGCAAAGAACATTCACAATTACACAAGACAGACACACAAAAGTCCAACAACATTTCTATACATGAGTGACAACATACAACCAGGTGGTGCTGGAGCACGCCTTTGTTCCCAGCGCTCAGGAGTTATAGACAGGTGGATCTCTGTGAGTTTGAGGCCAGCCTGGTCTACAGAGTAAGTTCCAGGACTGGCCCCATAGCTACTGAAAAACCCTGTCTCAAAAAACCAAAAAAAAAAAAAGAAAAAAAGAAAAAGTATGACAACATATATAGGAATGTATATGTTTCCCTGAGAAAGAAATCAGGTAAACAATCCCATTCACAGTAGTCTAAAAATATCTTGAAATAAACCTAACCAAAGAAAGTAAAGACTTTCTACAAAGAAAACCTTAAAAATCCAGAAGAAATTGAAGAAGACCTCAAATGATGGAGAGACCACCCATGTTTAGGAGACCATTATGAAAATGACCACCATATGAAAAGCAACCTGCAGATTTAGTGCAAACCCCACCAAAATAATGCTAATGGAGTTCTTCATGGAAATAAAAACCTTAAATTTTATATGGAAGCACAAAAGACCCAGGTCAGGTAAAATAATCCTGAACATTGAAAATGCTCTGGAGGTATCAGCACTCTTCACTGCAAGCTGCACGACAGAGATGTAGCAATAAAAACAGCATGGCACTAGCATAAATCAAACATATTGATTGGTGGAACTGATCTGAAGATCCAGCTATAAGTCTTTGCTTCTAACCCACCTGATATTTTTTATAAGGAGGCAAAAGTGCATATAGGAGAAAGAACTGCTTCCACAATGTTACCTGCACTCTGGGAACACTGTTTTATAGCACCTGGAAAGTGGGTACTTTCATAGAGTCCCTACATGTGTGTGGCAGACATGCCCTGTACTGGATCTCATGGTAGTCTTAGGTCACCTTGACCTCTACCCTTGTTTCCCATGCTTGAGAAGAGTTGTCCTCCAGAGTGCGTGGCTATATGATAAAACTCTCCAGTGTAAATGCCACACACTCAGTCCTCTCCTACACTGGGCTCTTCTACTCTGAGTCAGTACACACTAGCCCAGGGCTAAACACCAAACAACAGTGTCTGCACTCTAGAACTCACCACCATCTTACCTACAGTTTAGTCTGCTTACCCAGCCTTGCCTACTCCTTCCCTTGACGGCTAATACAGGCTCTTGCCACAACTTTTCTTCCCTCTGCATCCCCACTAGCCCTGGTCCTGGCTGATGCTCCCCACATGTGATAAATGTTCCTTCTCTTAGGAGGATCTGTGAGTATGACATGTGTATCAGCATGTGCATGTATGATGGCTATGTGCATGTGAGCAATGTGTATACATGCATGAGTGCATGTATGTGTGATGTGTCTGTGTGTCCATGCACATACATACATGATTGTGTGTGTGATGTGTATGTATGTGTACATGCATGAGTGTGTGATGTATGTGCTGAGTATTATATATATGAGTATGTGTGTATGTGTCTGTGTAGGCCAGAGGTGAATCTCAGGTATCATCCTGCAGGAGTCCTCAGAAGCCATCCACTTTTTTTTTCTGAGGTAGAGTTTCCTACTGGTTCAGAACCACCAGGCTAGGCTGGTTTTCCCATGAGTCCCAGCAATTCACCTTTCTCTGCCTCCCCTTAGTTGGGATTACAAGCACCATGTTCAGCTTTTTAAAAACCAACATAAATTCTAGAGATAAAACTCTGGTCCTTTCTCATGCTTTTGCTTGGAGCAGTTGACAACTGAACTATCTCCACGGTCCAACGTTATACCCTTTAAATGCTGGAATCCTGTGTCCTGGTGAACTTGCTTATCAAGTTGTCTATGACTGTACATATGGATTACCCACACAGGCTACAAACTCCTCCTTGAGCTCTCGTGGTGGGACCAAAGCAAGTTCTGTCTTGTCTGAGCATCTTACTCTTCTTTCTCCCTCAGCAAATATTATAGACTCTTATGCCTAGAGGGCCAGAGGATGTGGTGGCAGAGTGTGTGTGGGGGTCCTGGAAGGGCAGTACGAGTCAGTCACAGCCCCTCCCCTCCTACTGTTCAGGGTATTCCCTTCCCCAGTACTACCTGTCTGACAGAGGTGAACCATCCAGCCAATACCATGCACCTTCCTTGTTCAGGTCTGACAACCCCATCCAGGTGTAGCCATTTTTCTTGGAAGCTTGCTGCAGGAAGTACTGGAAGGGGAGAGAAAGAGTCAGGCAGCAGCATCCCCCTACTTCCCAGCTTATGTTTCTTCCCCCAAAGCCTCATGTTCATCAATGGATTACAAAACATTTGTATTTTTGGTAAATCAATTAGTTTAGTTAGGGTTTTTACAGACGTGTTGGCACCTTTCCCGGAGGCTACACCACTGAAGAAAGTGTCTCTCCATCTCTCAGTCACTGTTACCTGCTTATAGATCCTTAGGGAGGGGTGGGGCCTTGGTATCCTCCCACCATGACCCCCTAGTAACTGCCTATCAACCCTCAGGGAGAGGTGGGCTAGATTCAGTATTTGACAACCTTATTTGTGGGCTATGGAAGCTGGAAAGTGTGGCTTAGATGGAGGAGTAAGGCCACAGTGGTAGCATTCTTGGAGGAGAGTCTTGTCCCTGGTCCCCCTTTTCTGTCTTTCTGCTCCTGTCTGCCACGAGGCAGGAGGCTTTCTTCTGCTGTGCCTTCATACTGCATTTCTGCCTTGCCACAGCGATGGATCCAGCTGACCATGGACTGAGGCCTCTGAACAGACACAATTCTCCCCCCTGAAGCCGTTCTCAGATATTTTGTCACAGCAATGGAAAAGCTAATGCGCTACCCCAATCTCTTGGCAGCAGGATCTGCTTGGAATCTTTTAACCTTTTCATATTTCTAGTACGCCAGGTCAGGAGCCCCCATATGTTCTCAGTAGTTTGTTTCTTTTTCTTTGACACAGGTCTCATGCTCTAAAACTCAGGTAGCTGCGGATGGCATTAAACTCCTGACCCTCCTGCCTTCCCCTCCCAAGGGCTGTAATGATAAGTGTGCATTACCACCTGGCTTACATGACGTTAGATTGAGTCTGGGGCTTCCTGTATATTAGGCAAGTTCTCTACTACCAGTTGAACTTCTGAATCATTTGCGTATCTGTGTCCTATGGGCAGATTTGCTTAGACTTATGCAGGTAGTGTGTATAGCTGGCTTGATAACACTACATGTTTTTCCACGTTATGTGTTCTAAGTATGTCCACATACGTTTACTCAAGGCCAGTTTTAACATCCTGGATCCAGATTGCATCAGTTTGTGAGCGTGAGTCAGGCAAATGGTGAGACCTTTTCAGGTCTTCGTTGAGTGGCACCTCATTGGTCACTTAAAACCAACATTCATAAGAATATGTACACCACGGAAACTGTAAACATAATAAGGATTTAAAGAAACCTGTCAAACAAGCTGTTATGCATTGGCCAGCACACTCACGGAAACCACTTTCATTTTAAATGCTCCCCACAGCGTTCGTCAGTGTTGAGAACTGGCGTATGCTTATTTGGAAGGTGCCTGGGAACACCTGTTCATACGCTTCCTTTCATCCTTTCCAAGTACAGCAAGTAGCTCAATTCCTAGAAGCCACCATGTAAACACGCGTCTCTGTCCTCAGAACAGTTAGGCAGTCACACCTGCTCCTCATGACTTTTGATGATGACCAGCTGGGCTCCCACTTCCTGGCAGGCAGTGATGGAGTCATGCCAGTCCCGTTGTGACTTGGAGAAAAAGTAACAGTTTCCCTTGAAGAATGTCCAATCCCAAGGACAGCGCCGACAGAGGCTATCTGTAGGCGAAGGTAGATCAGGTTGAACCCATATTTGAATCTTTTTGTTACTATGTTTGCCCAGCTTTAAGACCTCCAGAATGAGGATCCTCCCTTCCCGTAGTACGGGGTCAAGCCATTCCCCTCCCTCCGTTTCCTAAGCCTGTTCTCTACTCCAATAGAATCCAGGAGCTCTGGACCCATCTTCTTCACAGATGCCAGGAGATTGGTTTAATTGAGTGCCTACTGTGTACATGGCTCCCATTGACCTCTGCATGCTTTTCTCATTTTTTAAATCACTATTCCCAATTCACAGATAAGGTAGTGGAAGCTTAGAGATGGCCAGCGGCTAAAATAAAGTGACCCCTCAAGAAGGCCCTCTCAGTCCCAGTACACTTTGTTTTTGCTCTCTCACCAACTTCAGACTTCAGTTGGCTCAGGTCCTGGAACATTTTCTCCTGCTTTTTCTGTTCCCACTGTATTTCCTCTGAGCTGGGGATCTTGGAAACTTGACAGAAAAAAAAAGATATTGTGATTAGTGAACACTCACTGTGTGTCATGGATCACACAGACACCATATTTGCTATCCAGGGCGCTATGTTATCTCATGTAAAAATAAGGAATTCTAATACCCACGAACCCTCTACTGCTTCTATTCCCTACCTAAACTGAAGTAGAAGTGGAGGGGCCCCAAGAAGCGCCTAGCACTTTCTGAAGGACCCATGGCTCTTTTTAGTACCTCCTGTTGTTAGTCCCGGAAGCCTGAGCTGAAAATCACCCAAGGGACCCCCCCCCCAAACTCCAAGATGACCCTGACCTTGGATGACGATGGCAGCCAGGAGTCCAGCAAAGAACATGAGTGACAGCAGCTGCAGCACCAGGGAGATGTGGCCTCGGTCTGGAAATCCTGCAGGGGAAAGGATGGATGGATGGTCTACTACCTGGCCCGGGGAACCCAGACACAACCGCTTCAAGTCAGAGGCCAAGCCCTTAGCCCCCACTTCCCCAGCAAGCCCCAAAGTCAGTTTCCAACCCGAGGTCCACATCCAGGACCTGCATCTTCCCAGGACCTGAGTGTCCAGGTCTGCAGCTCCAGCTCCCTGGGGATTCAGGTGTTTAGTCCCAGCCCTCCAGCTTCTCGGGTCTCAGGAGTCCAGAGACTCAACCTCTCTCTGCCTTCCCAGGTCTTAGGGGCTCAGATTCACAACCTCCACTTCCCTGGGATTCCAGAAGTTAGATTTCAATCAGGGGTGCAGCTAGAAACTCCGCCTACCAGGGACCCAGAACCTCAGTCTTCATCTCCCAGGACCAAATTTCTGCTGGGAGAAGTCTACTCATCCCCATCCCATGACCCTACCCCGCTCTACCTAGGAAGCTTTTGAATCCTAGAGTTGGTATCCAAAGCTGTTTTTCAAGTATCTGTTAGCTCCAGTTCTCAGTGGTTACTGGCTGTTTCTCATCTGAGTGGGCAGAGCATTGGCCAGAGCCTAGGCATGCAGAGACCTGAGTTGACCCTCCCCGAGCTCCCAGGCTTCCAGTGTAGGCTTACCCAGACAGCCCATCTGCTGCACCCCTGCTTCTTTGGAGTCACTCACAGTCATCGCTGTTCCTTGGTGCCTGGTACTGCTTGGAACAGCAGCTTTTATCTGCCTCCCGCTTTGCCTTCAGCTACTCTTTCTTAGGAACAGAAACGAGGAACTGGGTTCCAGCGCCGGAAGAGGGTAGATGAGGAGGAAGACTTTGACACAATGCAGCAGGGACCTCCAATTCCCAGAATTTTGGAGTGGGGCTGGGTGTCTTCTGGCCTCTGTTGCAAAAAGGATCTGGTTCACTTATGGTATGACAACGCTATAGGATGATTTCTATGGAAATAATAACTGTAACATAAAATTACTTCATTTTAAATTGGTGTGTGTATATATGCTCATATGTGGATGCGTGGATGTGTGTATCTCTGTATGTGAGTGCACACATGTGTGCATGAACGTGATGTGTGTGCACACCATGTGGAGCCCAGATGATAATTTTGAATATAATTCTTCAAGTATGTTTTAATGGGGCAGGGGTTAAAGAGATGACTCAGCAATTAAGAAGGAAGAGCTGATATCAGTTCCCAGCACCAACTCAGGCAGTCACAATCGCCTATAACTGCAGGTCCAGGCGAATTGATGTCTTCTTCTGCCCTCATTTTTTTAATTTATTTTTATTATTTATTTATTTATTTGTTTATAAAAATTTCCACTTCCCTCCTCCCCATACCCTCCCATTCCCCCCCACTCCCTCTCCTCCCCACCCCCCACTCCCTCTCCTCCTCCCTCTCCAGTCCTAAGAGCAGTCAGGGTTTCATGCCCTGTGGGAAGTTCAAGTTCCTCCCCTCTCCCTCCAGGTCTAGAAAGGTGAGCATTCAAACAGACTAGGATCCCAAAAAGCCAGTACATGCAGACAAAACAAGACCCAGTGCCATTGTAAATGGCTTCTCAGTTGGCCCTCATGTCAGCCACATTCAGAGAATTTCTTCTGCTCTCTTAAGATGTGTATGGATCCTTTGTTTCTGCTGGCTTCTGCTACCCATCATAGTTCCAAATTCTTCAGCTGTTTTCTTCCTTCACCTGCTCTAACCATCCATCTCTCCTCGCCTACTTGGTAAAGGTCCTCTCTGGCTCCTGGCGCCTGCTACACCCTCTGGGGCCTCACCACGCAGGCAACTCTCTATCAAGATACTTGCCCCTCTTCCTCTTTTGGAACCCTCCCTGCTTTGTGCCCTGCTCCCCCTGGGAGCTGCCTGATGAGCCCCGTGGTTTCCTTCAGCCCATCTGGGTCTCTTTGACCTTGACCCTCCTGTCTCTCAGGTACGACTTGGAGCTTATAGAAACTCCTTCCCGCAGAGTTCATTTTGTGACCCTTCCCCTCTTCCTCCACGAACTCTGATTTTATTGAAGCCTCATCCTGGCTGACCTCAGCACAGTTCAAATGGCCGCAACTCAGTTTTCAATGATGACAATTTCTGCCACTATGCAAACAAATGATCCAAAAAACTTTTATGTATAAACTTGTTTTCTCCTCTATTTTTTTCTTATCTACACCTGCCTAACTCTTACATATGAATGTTTTTTGTTCAAGAACCCCCCACCTCTAACCAACAGCTCATTCTACTAGGGTCAGGAAATTGCTCTATATCAGGCTGTCAAAGACTGAGTCAGTTCCCTATATCTCCTTGACTAGGGCTGTCCACCTTGGCCTGTTTTCTCTGTTTTTGTATGATAATTCCTGTGCTGAAAGCAGAAATCATAAAAATTTAAAAAGCAATGTTGTTTACTAAGGTATTAGAGCTGCACTTCCATGTACTCAGACAGGAACGTGCCGTGTGCTAGAAACTAAACTCTTACGAGTCACTTAGGTAGTATTAGTGTTAAAAACACACGAAGGGGTCATGGAAAGCAACTGAGTCTTGGCATCATATGTCAGAATTGGCATTCCTAAAGGGAGCCCAGAAGAGACTATTTGTGAAAACTCAGCCCAGTTGCAATAAGAGTCCAAGAAAGTGTTAGAAAGGCCTGAGAACGTGAAAGCTTAAGTAAGCACCGAGGATAACTTAAGTTCTGAGTGTCCAAGAAAGTGTCATGTAAATGAAAGCTACAAAGGTATAAGAAACTGATTTAGGGTGACGGAAAATGTTTTAGATCTCTATGTTGTTGTTAAACATATACTTAATGGTCCAACCAGACCACTGGCATGGTGGGGTCTGGAAGCTGTTCATCAGCAGGCTGCCAAGAGGAGGTACTTTTCTCTGTAACACCTAAATTAACTTCTAAAACACCCGTCCCCTAGTCTTTCTTTCTCCGTGATCAAACTACAGATTATTGTTGATGCTGGCCAGATATAGGCTGCCCTAAGTGGTCCTCTATGATGCAAATTCAGAAAGGCATGCTACCTTTTATGTAGAATGGGTGATCTTTCATTCCAATTAAGGACCCATGGAATCCCAAATAGGAGACAGGAGCCATTGGTAAGCTTTACTATAGCATTGATCACAGCTACCCATCAGGCACACTAAAGATACATGGGAGAAGTGGTTCAAAGCTCCTCGAAGATCCTTACCTCTCTAATATCACCCCCTTTTGATGAGATTTATCCCACCTCCCTGTCATATCATCTCTTGTTTCAGACTTTAACCTCTGTGTATCAGCTACTGGATAATGCCTTGCCTGACTGCTTTGGAGAACATTGGTTGTGTGTCCCTCCTGGGCCAAACCCACAACCACCATTTGTATTCTTACCCACTGTCTTAGTAGATTCCTTCACCTTGCCGCTTGTTAACTGCTCTGAGCCGAATATCACTACCACCCCTTATCTCTCCCATTTCTCACACAGACTGCTTTAACTCCTCAAGAACATATTTTGTGAACACCCTGACTTCTGCAGATTGAAATAGTACCATAACCCTTAGTACAACCGCCCCCAACTTCTATGCCCAAACATTCACACTGTGTCTAATCTATGTGGCACATAAGTGTGCTGCTAGGTTATCTGTACCCTGGTGTTCCTTTTTCCAATGCTAGGGGGTAATACCTGGTGAAGAATCCTTGCCAGTTCCCATTACTGGGTTTAGAGCAGCATGGCATGAGAAATGAGCAATTCTAGCAGTCCTAGGCATAACCACCAGCGACACCACCCGAGCAGCAGGACTGACTACCTCCCTAGCTCTTTGCCATCAGCTTTTCTTGCAGTGCATCCAGAATCTTTAACAGGTGGCTCAGACAATCCTAACCCTCCAGTGCTAAGTAGACTTGCTGACTGCATAGTACTACAAAATCGGCAAGGATTAGATTTCCTAACAACAGAAAGGTAGCCTTTGTCTCTTCCTCAGGGAGGACTGTTGCTTCTGTGTTAACCAGTCAGGTATAGTAAAAGATAAGATCTGACACTTTCAGAAACATAAGAAACAGCTTGATGTCTCTGGCCAGTGGATCACTGATAGTCCAATATGGATGCGACCTTTCTTAACCCTTCTACTCCTTTTCTTAATCCTACTAATTGCACTCTGCCTCACAAACTTCTTGTCTAGATTTCTTTAACAACAGATTCAGAAGATTTCTAACAAGACTTTTAACTAGGTAGTGTTACATAATTACTGGCCCCTAGCTACAGAGTCAAAGGCCTGAGGCACCCAGTTACAACCTGGCTATGGAGATCAGGATTGCCTCAAGGACCTCAGCACCCCCAATCAATACAAAGTAGTCAAACGATAATGTCACTCCCTTTCCAATCCCATTGTTTATTAATAAACAAAAAAGGGGTGAAAAGAGGGTGAAAAGGGCCAAAGAAAACACCCTGACCCTGATTTAGGAAGAGGGATTGAAATCCCACCAATCCCTGAGGTCCATGAGCATAGAATCCCACCAATCCTAGATCACAAAAACACACCAATCCCAAGCCACCCAGAAAAGCTCTGCCTGCCCCCAGGAACCCTATAGAAGCTCTGTACCCTGTTCAGTTTGCTGCCACCTCATCCTAGAGGCAGACAACCACCTGGATTCTTCCCTTCCAATAAAATTCTCGAATGAGGTTTGGGCGATGATCTTTTGCTGGAGCAGAGCAGAACTGTAACACTTTCACTGGGGAAACCTTCCCCCAGTGGGGCAGAGTTGTTACGCTGGGGAAACCGTTCCCTGGAGCAGGGCTGCAAGCTGCTCTGCTTACAGCGACTTTGTGGCATTCCTTGGCTTCCGACTGCCAGGATCTCTTTCCATCCCTGTTGCAATGCTTACATGGTCTGCAACGTATTTTGATTATATTCACCTGTTACTTTCTCTTTTCCTCTTCCTGCCCATCCCCTCCCTCTTTCCAATTACCCCCTTATACTCTCATGGTAATTTGTGTGTGTGTGCAGGCACATTCATGTGTGTGCGTCCCAAAGAGTTTCATTGAGGTTTGCTTACAGAAGAAGCAATGGTGAGGGTTCATTTACAAGAGCATGGGAAATCTTACCAGTGGCTACACCAGTGAAGAAGACGTCTCTCCCTCACTAATATTTAACTGTATGCTCATGGATGGGGAGGCACACACACACACACACACACACACACACACACACACACACAGAGACAGAGAGACAGAGAGACAGAGACAGAGAGAGAGACAGAGACAGAGAGAGAGAGAGAGAGAGAGAGAGAGAGATACAATAATGACTTAGTCCTAGCTCTCCAGTCAGAAGTGTTCTCTCACTGGCCTGGAACCCACTAAGTAGGCAACCAGGGATGTGGGATTCCCCTCTGTATGCTGTGAATATGTTTTATTACCATTGATTAAAAAAGAAGCTACTTTGGCCTATGGCAGGGCTGAATATAGCTAGGTGGGAAAACTAAACTGAATGCAGGAGAAAGAAGGCAAATCAGGCAAATGCCAGCAACCACCAAGAAAGCAAGATGTAAGGTAACAAACTATGAGTCTCATGGTAAAATATAAAATAATAAAAATGGGTTCCTTTAAGATGTAAGAGTTAGTTAATAAGAAGCTAATTAGGCCAAAGAGTACATAATTAATATTAAACCTTATTTTATAAGTGGCTTCGGAAACAGGCAAGCGAAGAAAACCCTGTCTAAGTTGACCAGCAGGACAGAGACTATGCATAGCTACAAGCCAGTGAATCCTAGGAATTTAGTGGTTTCTACCTTCTCAGCACTAGGATTACAAACCGATGCTATAACACCTGACTTTTTTTTTGTTTTTTTTTTTTTTAAATCTGGTTTTGGGAACTGAATTTACAATTTCACGATTCTGAGGCAAGCACTTTATGTTTTTTTCACTGAGCCTTCTCTCTAGCTCCAAAGTTCCATTTAATTTCTTCTTCATCAGTGACAAAGATGGGGGCTTGCAATGTCCCCAGTTTTCCCAGAAAACTGTGCCCTCTGACACCAAGCTATGCTGGTGCCATAAATCATGGTGATTTCTGTTGACTGGGGAGCTGAACGGAGTCATCACTGTATTCATTAACATATTATTAGTGGGTAGGCGAGATGGCTCAGTGGGTAAAGGTGCTTGCCACTAAGCCTGATGACCTGTGTTCAATTGCGGAGACCTCTATGTTGAAGGAGAGGACCAACTCCCATAAGTTGTCCTCTGACCTCCCAAAACTAAATAAATGTAGTAACAATTAAAACATTGCAATAGCATACAAATATATTTTGAAACCCAATTAGGTTTTATTGATTCTCCTATCTCCTTTCCCCCACTCCCTTCCCCTCCCACTCCTTCTTCCCTGCTCCCTCCTCTGAAGCTTTCTGCCCCTGGTGGCCTCTGATTTCAGGTCACATGCTCTAGTTCTTACACTCCATCCATACTTCTTTCTCTCCTTTCCTGGTCCTAGTGCTAGTTTCACAGTCTATACCACACTCATAGTCACATGAGCACATTAAATGTTGGGGTTCACATGTACAAGAGAACATGCAGTGTTTGTGTCCCTGTTTCTGAGTAACCTTAATCTTTTCCAGACCCATGCATTATCCTGCAAATTTCATTTCTTACAGTGGAATAAGATTCCACTGTGTATATAAAGTACATTCTCATTCATATTTACTGCTACACTTTTCACAGTAGCAAGGAGACGGACTCGGTCTAAATGCCATCAACAGCGGAAAGAGGACCAGTGAGTGGGTTGATTCGGAAAGGAGCTGGCACAAAGTTGCCCTCCAGGGATGAGCTTTATTAAGAGAAGGGTCCCATGGTGATGGGAGCCATGAATCACACTCTAGGGAGGGACCATTAAGAAAGTAACAGCTCATTATATCTGAGAAAACAGGAGTGGAGTCTTTAAAGGAGGAGTGACAGCCCGTCAAACCTGGAGAGGAACTGCATTAAGAAAGACAGCATAAAGTAAGAGATGGACAGCCATCTTGGACAGGATGGCGGGGAGGCCCAGTGCACCAGAGCCACCTTTGAGTCTGCCATTCCCATCATCTTAGTGGACATCTGGGAAGATGGAAGGAAGTTTGGGGGTGCTTGAATGAATGCCGCCAGCATGAGGAAAGTCTGAAGGTACAGTGGTCTTCTGGGGACCTAGTAGTACTGGGGACTCCCAAGGAACCATGTGGGTGTGATCATCTTGGCTTGATCAGTGGTCCAAGCAAGCCTGGGTCAGTTTTTTGTGTGGATGGAAGCTCCCAGAAGGAAAAGGATGGGTGTCTCAGTCTGCAGAATGGGCTACACCTACCAGAGAAAGTTCCCTGCTGTGTTGGTTACTCCTCAATATGCTAACATCTAAAAGTCCCTGAGGAGATGACCTTCTGGAAGGGAGCTTCCAGATTTTGTTATCTAGGGTGGGAAGACACATCCCAAATATAGACAGCACCATTTCGTGATTTGTAGTCCCAGACTGAGGAGAAAGCAGAGAGGGAGTGAGTACCTACATTCACCTCTGCTCTCTGAGTGAGGTTGCAATGTGAGCTGCCTTGCTCTCCTGCACCGTCGCCTTCACCTCTGTGATGGAGCTGCACGTTCAGACCGGGAGCCGAAGCATAACCCTCCCTCCTGAAGTTGTTTCTGACAGGTGTTTTGTCAGAGCAAGAGAAGTGAGATACCAGTCAAAGGGCTCAGCGGAGGTTGGGAGGAACTGAGCAGATGCACAGGAAGTGTGCAGGAATGGTACCGAGGCTTAGGGAGTACAGCAGCTGTGCCATCACAATGAAAAGGTAGCTGTGACATCACAATGAAAAATGCTATAATTTTTTTTCTTTGCAAGGAGGGCACAGTTGATTAAGGGGAAGCTCCAAGGTCCTGAATGTATCCTATATCTGGTAACAATATTAAGTTACCCAGATAGAGAGCAACCATGAAACCTGAGCAACAGGAAACCTGAACCGCTCCCCATCCTGGAAGCAGAATTGGCAGGAAGCAGTGGCCCATATCCATAGAGGGTGAGGAATCTAACCAGGAAGCATGGGTGCTTTCATTAACACCTCAAGGCCAACAAACGAGGAGAAGGGACACGAACACGAGTCAAGTTCATCCTCCTGATACTGGGATTTGGGATGCAGAGGCTGAGATGAACTGGCTTTCGTTTGGTGGTGCATGATGAAGTTAAAGCTTTCTTATAGATCCAGAAATTTAGGGCATCACATTTGAGATCGTTCCAGCCATCCCTAGAGATCTCTGTGCCATCTTCATCCTCGACATTGTTGGGATCCCCTTTATTCCAACACTGTGCAGGGAGTAAGTGTCTGTGGAGTGTGAACCTTCAAATGGGACATCTGTTTGGTACCTACCGTCAAGGCTCTGGGAGCATCATGGAAGAGGGGGCAGAAAGACTGTATGAGCCAGAGGCTGGAGGAGGACATCTGGACACAGCTGGACTGCTGCACTCATGAACTCAGAGCAGTTATGGTTGCTTGCACAAGATTGAGCTTGTTAACATTGCGGTATGGAGAGGGGGCTGTTTATGAGGTACTAGGACAGTCGATGGCTTCGGGGAGGAGGGAAAGTCAGTTTTCTTTAACACCGATAAGCTGGCCAAGCTCTAGCAGATGGCCCCATGCCCATGAGTAGCAACATAATTGTACTCAGTGGGATCCAGAAAAAGGGAGGGGGCGTGACATTGGAAGGGGATGAGAGATGGATTCAGTAGGAGTTTAAGAGAGAAGTGGGCGTGTGTGAATAGCTTCAAAATGCATTGTGTGCATGCATAAAAATCAAATAATAAAACAGCATATAATTTTTAAATGTGGGCATGATACCTGCTGTGTGTGTGTGTGAGTGTGTGTGTGTGTGTGTGTCTGTGTGTGGTATATGTGCATATGTGTGTGCAGGTGTTTGCAACTGTGAGAGCGCATGCAGAGCCACAGGAAGATACTAGGCATCCTGCTGTATTCTTTTCCGCTTAGTCCTCTTGAATGAGGATTTCTTACTGGCCTTGGAGCTAGGCTAACAGTCAGCAAACCCCAGGGACCCTCCTGTCTGCAGGCCTCATGCCCAATATTGGGCTTCTAGGCACATGTGACCATGCTCGTTGGTTTTTTATACCCATGGATGCTGAGGCACCTAAGTCAGGTCTTCACGCCTAAGCAGCAAGTACTCTTCTTCCGTGAGACGTTGCCCCAAATCCCAAGACCAGCTTTCATAACGTGTTTTCAAACTCAAGTCCTCTGTTTTCAAGGCAATCACGTTCCTGACAGGCATTTCCCTAGTCTCTACTCTAGCAGGTCACCTATCTCTTGGTGAGGAAGGTATTTAATACTGCCCGCCACATAGGAAAGCAATTGCACTTCAGGCGATCTATGAAGCATTCAGAATTGTTCAAGTCTCAGAGAGTATGTGGGACCCCTCATTCCTACCCTTCTCTATTCAAGTAGGAAAAACAGCATCTTACTCATAGTTTGGTCTGGCAAATGACCTCAATCTCAGGTGACCACAGCCAGATGTGTGTTCCAGACAAGGGTGGTGCCCCACCAGTGGACCTGCTCCCCGTCATCTCTATGATGACCATTTGGACCCCTACTTCCTGGCAGGCAGTGATGGAGTTGTGCCAGCTTCACTGGGACTTGGGGAAGACATAACAGTTTCCATGGAAAAACACACAGTCCCTTTGGCAGGGTTGACACAAGCCATCTGCTGGGAGAAACACACCAGAAGGACATACTTAGAAGCCTGTGTTCCCATTTCTCTTCAGCCTTTGAGGTCTCCAGAGCCAGGGCCCTTTCTCACCACAGCACTCCAGGGAGCCTGTCCCCTCTGTGTTCCTTATTCTCTTCTCCACCCAGAAGAATCTAGAAGTCCTGAGCCCATCTTCTCCAGACATGGAGAAATAGAGGCCTGGGGTTCAGAACAGAGGCCAGGACCAGCTTGACTGAGTGCACTGTGTGCACAATTTCTGTGAACTTACAGAACCTAAGATGTGTATGGGTGGCCCTTGTTAACACTGAACGGCCCTGTGCAAGACTCCTGTGCAGACAGTGCTTTCTGCATGGATAATCCCTGTGAACACTGTATGCCTGCTGTGTACACAACCCCTGAACATTGAATGCCTGCTGCATGAATGGCTCCTGGGAACATGGTCCTACTCTGCACAGAATTCCTTTGAACATTGAGTGCCTACTATGTGCATGGCTCTGTAAATACCAAGCTCCATTCTCCATGTTTTATTATGATCTCAATTCACAGAGAAGGAAACTGAGGCTCAAAGAGGTCTGAGGATGAAAGGAGATTGGCTCCTCTCCTGTGGAGACCCGAAGCAGTGGATCCCTTGTTTCTGGTTACTCACCGTGTACTTCAGTCTTCAGCTGCGTGAGCTCCTGGTAGATTTTGTCCTGACTCTGGGAGCTGGGGACCTTTGAGACTTAGCCAAGAAAGAAAGAAAGAAAAATCCATGCAGTTATTAAATCCTGCTTTTTGTCATGGCCTGCTCTGGGACCCTTGGGGTGTTGTGTCACTTTTAAAAGAAGAGTCCCATGTTGTCAGTGATTTCTCCTGGGTACACATCCTCATCCTATCCCGTTTCACAAGTAGTTAAGATTTCAGGCACATGTTTCCACCCGTGTCTTGAACACTTTCTTCCAGATGTCTTTAAACAGTTTTTGATTTATTTTTTATTCTATGTGTATGAGTGTTTCACCTGCATGTGTGTATGTGTATATATCAGGTGCTTGTCTGGTGCCTAAGGTAGCCAGAACAGGGTGCTGGATACCCTGGAACTGGAGTTATAGATAATTGTGAGCCACTGTGTGGGTGCTGTGGATGCTGTGGATGCTGGGAATCAAACCCAGGTTCTCTGGAAGAAGAACAAGTGTTCTTAACTGCTGAGGCAACTCTCCAGTCTTTGGTTAATAACATTTAAAGGCCAGAGAAGGGCGAACCACTAGGAAAATGGAACTGCAGCTCTTCCCTCTGTCTCTCATCTCCCTTCTCTTATAACAGAGATGAGGGAGGTGTCTCTGAGAAGTTGCTAGAAGCCACTGAAGGTTATGTTACCAACATACGTTCCCCACCTTTCTCATACAGATCCTAGGGCCAGATAAGAGAACTGAGGCACACATTGTGACTCATCAAGGGCAAGAATGATCAGCAGAAGCCCAGCCAAGAACAGGAAGTTTGAGAGCAACTGCAGGACCAAGGGCTTGCAGCTGTGCTTCCGATACTCTGCAGGAGAGAAGGTAGTGGTGTTAGAGTCAGAGTGGCCCCTGCCTCAGCCTGACCCCAGGACAGACTTACTGCCACCATCCTCCTACAGGGCACACGCGTCTGGACTCTCAGCCTCCACCTCCGTATGGCCCAGGATTCCACCTCCAACATCTACCTCCCCAGGACTGAGAAGTTTAAGGTCCCAACTCCAATGTCCCAGGACCCACTTCTGGGAAGGGGTGTCTATTTTTCCTCAGCCCCTCACCATTATTATAGCTGCCAAACTTTTGAATGCAAAATTTGGTTGTCATCCAGAGGTGACAGCAGAATGCCTGGTGCCACTGATCAAGCACTCTTCATCCTCTGGAGGAAGAGAGAGCCAGCCAGAGCCTAGGGCAGGCTCAACCATGAGCTGCCCCTCAGGACTCCCTTGCTGAGATCCCACAGTCCCAGCCCATACTCACCTGGGCTGCCCACTTGCTGTTCCCTTGGTTCTATAGTGTCATTTACGGTCACTGCTCTTGCTTCGTGTCCGGAACAGTCGAAGAGCACAGCTTGTATTTCTTGTCCCCTGATGCCTGCTTCCTAGACATTCTGATGGGAAGAGGAAAAGGAACCGGATGTGAGTGTGGAAGAGCTAGAGGGAGAGTCTGCACCCCTGACTCAGCACATCTGGTGCTGGATAACCCAGGACATTTTAGGGAGAGGTTTGGGGAGTTTGTGGTGTGTAGCAGAAAGATCTGCTCTATTCATGTTGTGACAAATTGTGAGGCGCCTTTATCGATGCTAATAGCCTGCAGAGACCATCTTTGCTATGCCCTTTTCTCTTGTGCTGAGAGCCTTAACCCACATTCCCGGGAGCTCTGCCCCCACTGACTTACACTTTTATGCTTTCCTGACATCTGATTCACTGTGGTTCCTGCTGACTTGAATGTTCTGGCGGAATCACCATACTCCTGTTCCTGTAATGCCTGCTGCAGATGGACCCATTTTACCCTCTGTGTGGGAGCACATGATCTGCTTTCCAGTTTTGCACAGCCAGATTATATGACAGGCCCACAGTCACACAGCTATTTGATGGCGATCTGGCATTTGAACATAGGTGATTGACTTTACAGTCCTCAGTGTAAGCCAAGGAAAATAAAATGGTCCCAAAGGGGGGAAATTTCCCAATGGCCAACACTTACTGAGTGAAAAACGTTACTTATTTTTATTGTTGTTCTCACAAACTGGAACAGTCTTCATAGGTAGCAAAGAAATCCATGGAACCTGGGAGTTCATTTTCTCCTTTCACTATGTGGGATCTGGGGGTCAGATTCAGGTCAGTAGGATTAGAGGCAAGTGCCTTTATCCAATGACTATTTAGCTGACCCATTTCACTTTATTTTTGAGACAAGTTGTTACTGAATCTTGAACTCACTGATTCAGTTAGATTGGCTGTCCAGTGAGCCCCAAGGATCCTCCTGTTTCTGTCTCCCCAGTATTGGAATTATAGATGTAATCTTGCCATGCCTGGATTTTTACTCTTGGGTCCAAACTCCGTTCATCATGCTGTGTGGCAAGCACAGTGACTAAGCCATCTTCCCCGTCCCCGATCTTTGCTATTAATTTGAAATGGAGATGACTTTAATGGGTAGGACAGAGACTGACGCAGTGGTTGAGGTTTAAAAAGACTTCAATGTTATGGGAGTATTTGACATTTTGATTAGACTGGTGTAGTGTATGTGTCTAGGTGGACATGAAAGCCTCTACACTGTACTACCTGTGTGAGATAGTCTCAGCATCAGAAAACCTACACATTAACCATGATCAGTAAGTGTAGCTTCTGGTCTTGTATTTATTTTATAAACTTAGAATTTTATGCTAACTTTTATTGACTCAAAAACATAGCTCTCACTTTGAAGGGAATGAAATCTAGAATAAACTATCTGGAGTCAAATGTGAGTGACCAGGTCCCAGGAGCACACATTCAGGTTGTCCTAAATACCACGTTCTACTGTAGAAATGCCACATGAGATTTTATTGGTTGTAGAACAAAGATGAGGTAGGGAACCACAGGTAGGTGGGCTCCAACTGAAACAGGGAAAACTCCGCTACAAATTTAAGAAGTTATCCAGTGTTGCTCTTAGCTCTTGGACTGGAGGAAGCTAGAGGTCTTCTAAGAATGTGCTTTAAAAGCCTTGGTAGCCATAAGGCTGGCAGATCAGATACAGAGGTGGGCAACAATGGTTTTCAGAGAGTCTGTAACATTTTAATGCTCCATAATTTTGAAGCTCAGTTATTTATTATTTGTTCTAGATTTGATTCTGTAGTTCTGATAAAAAAGACCTGGACAAAAAGCAGTTTAGGGGAGAAAGGGTTAGTCTCATCTTACACTTCCAGGTTATGGTTCATTATTGCAAGGAACTCACTGTGCAGGGGCTCGAGACAACTGTCACATCACATTCATGGTCAAGAGGGGAGGTGAATAAATTCTGCTGGATTGCCTGTCTGTACTCAGCTCAGTTTTCACAGTCTTATAGAGAGTAGGATTCCTGACTAGGGAGTGTGCCACCCACAGAAAACTGGGTTTTTCCATATCAATTACTTTAATAGACAATCTCCCACAGACAAACCCACAGACCAATGCCATGTAGACAATGTCTTGTTGAGATTCTCTTCCTATGTGCTTCTAGGTTTGTCAAGTTATGGTTAAATCTAAATATTCTAGCTTTGTATGCAGCCTTTTTTTTCCCTTCTGAGAACCGTAGTTCCCATTTTGTACCAGTTACAGGTTCATAGCACTATGCCAAGGTAAAATGCAGATTTCTCATGTACCTTTGACTCAGGATTCTCTGATGTTGATCTTCTACATGGTAAAATGTGATAATACTGTCAAATGTGTCAATGTTAGCTTTTCAAAGGTAGCTATGTCTTGGGACTAGAGAGATGCTCGGTGGTTAAGAATGTATACTGTTCTTTCAGAGGATTCATAAGAGAATTCAACTCCTATGCCAGGCAGCTCACAATTGCCCAGAACTCCAGCTCCAAGGGATCTGACACTTGTGACCACCACAGCACCTGAACTCACATGTACATACCCCAACATATACGCAATTAAAAATAAAATAAGTATCTTCTTTTTAAAAGATATGCCCGCTGGTGTAAGAACTGCATGACTGTTATGGGAGTAACCAACTATTTCTTACTGTATTAAGGCCTCCTCTTCAGGAAGGTACTGTAAATCTTGCTAAAAATCCAGACCTAGGTAGGTCATAGACCCTAGGGAAAATCTCCTATTGTTGTTTTGCTAAATGGTCATATAGTCAAACTACCTCCTAAATATGATTTTTCAACAGTTTTAGGGGACTGGTCACAGACGCTGCAACTTATAAAGCCACAACCACCGTCATAGCTGGGAAAAATTACAGAGCTTGTCAATAGGGATCTTAGAGATGGGGTCTCAGTAACTGCTGCCCCAGTCATGGTAATAAAAACACTGAGGTACTGGCACATGCACACAAACAGATCAATGCAATAGAATAGAGGACCGAGCTATAATTCCACACTCCTACAGCCATTTGAGTTCTTGACAAAAGGCCAGCAACATGTATTGGACAAGCGACAGCTTCTTCATCAAATGGTACCAGTTAAACTCGGTATGCACATGCAGAAGAAGGAAACTAAGTCCCTATTTCTCATTTACACAAAACCAAATTTCAAATGAACCATGAGCCTCAGCAAAAGACCTGAAACTCTAAAACTTCCCAAGGGAAAAGTAGAGAGTGCTCTTAAGAACACGGGTATAGGGAGAGATATACCTATATCTATATACCAGGACTCAGGTAAGTCACAGGAATAGGGAGGGGTACATGTATACCTATATACCAGGACTCACGTAGGTCAGGAAATTAGGCCAACAACTGCAAAATGAGACTTCATGAAATTCAAAAGTTTCAATATATCTTAGGAAGCTGTTACAGAATGAACTAGCAGATTACAGGAAACAAAATCTTCACCAGCTATACACATTCTACAGATTAATATCCAGAATATACAAAGAATTAAAATAAACCTTAAGAAAACAAACTAATAAAAATGAGCTATAGAACTAAACTGTCTTAAGAAACAAACAGAACTCCCAAAACAAACAAACAAAAACAAAGACGAATTAACAATTTAGAAAATGTCTCATTTCTTTGCCCACGAGGGAAATGCAAATTAAAACCACTCTGAGATCCTGTCTTACCTCAGTCAGAGCTGCAAAAATCAAGAAAATAAATGACAAGAGAAGTACTGATGGGGATAGGGGGAAGGAAGACTTAGTCACTGCTGGTGGGAATGCAAACTGGTGCAACCACTATTGAAGGCAGTAGGGAGGGTCCTCAAACAGCTGACCGTAGAGCTACCATATAGCCCAGCCATACCATTGCTGGGCTTGTACCCAAAGGGCTCTGTGTCTCCTAACGCAGAGATACTGTGCATCCCTGTTCATTGCTGCTCTGTTCACAAAAGCCACGAAGCAGAATCAGCTTAGATGTTCATCAACTGATGCATAGGTAAGTCAAATACAATGAAAATACACAGTGGCGTTTGTGTCATTTGTAGAGAACACTGTAATTAGGAAATTCACAGGTAAATGGATGGAATTGGAAGATAGTGTACTGAATAAGGTGATCCAGCTCCAGGAAGACAGACAGCACATTTTGCTTCTTATATGCAGATCTTAGCTTGAGTTTTTAGATGTCTGTGTTTAACTTGTGCCTGTAAAGACCAGGAGGATAGGAAGGAGCCATTGGGTGGGGAAAGGGCACTAAAGGATGGGGATTAGTAGAACTCCACATTAAAGTGTGTGGAGAGGGTATCGGTGGTAGGGAGATTCACATAAGGGTGAAAGTAGAGGAGTAGGGAGGTTAGTAGGGGTGGTGAGGTTTAGCCTAAGCAAAGGGAGGATGGAAATGCTATATGTAATTGTAAAGGTTTGTAAGCTGATTAAAAACATTATACAGAATGAGTTTGAAGGGGAATATCCAGTATAGGGATGTAATGGTGTTCTCAGAAGTCATCAGTTGCTAAACAAAATTCAATCCCAGGTATGGGACATGGAAATAGGAGTGGTGGGTCAGAAAGGTGGCTCAGGCACACACTACCAAGCCTGACAACCCGAGTTCAATCCTTGGGAAGAAGAGAACATATTGAAGTGTTTTAAAACTTCAACCACCGGGTCAATCTCTGTCCTCCTCATTAAAGTCATCTCCATTTCAAATTAGCAAAGATCGGGGACGTGGAAGATGGCTTAGTCACTGTGCTTGCGACACACCATGACGAATGGAGTTTGGACCCCCGGGTAAAAATCCAGGCATGGCAAGATTACATCTATAATTCCAATACTGGGGAGACAGAAACAGGAGGATCCTTGGGGCTCACTGGACAGCCAATCTAACTGAATCAGTGAGTTCAAGGCTCAGTAACAACCTGTCTCAAAAATAAAGTGAAATAGGTCAGCTAAATGGTCATTGGATAAAGGCACTCACTTCTAATCTTACTGACCTGAATCTGACCCCCAGATCCCACATAGTGAAAGGAGAAAATGAACTCCCAGGTTCCATGGATTTCTTTGCTACCTATGAAGACTGTTCCAGTTTGTGAGAACAACAAAAAAAAATGTAGCCTTTTTTCACTCAGTAAGTGTTGACCTTTGGGAAATTTCTGCCCTTTGGGACCATTTTATTTTCCTTGGCTTACACTGAGGACTGTAGAGTCAGATCACCTATGTTCAAATGCCAGATCGCCATCAAATAGCTGTGTGACTGTGGGCCTGTCATATAATCTGGCTGTGCAAAACTGGAAAGCAGATCATGTGCTCCCACACAGAGGGTAAAATGGGTCCATCTGCAGCAGGCATTACAGGAACAGGAGTATGGTGATTCCGCCAGAACATTCAAGTCAGCAGGAACCACAGTGAGTCAGATGTCAGGAAAGCATGAAAGTGTAAGTCAGTGGGGGCATAGCTACCGGGGATATGTGTTAAGGCCCTCAGCAGGCAGAGAGTGAGAATGAGAGTGAGAGACTATATAGTTGGGAGGGGGGTAGGAAAGTGGAGAGATTCTGGGAGGAGAAACACGATTAAAATACAGTATATGAAAAAGTTTGGATATTTTTCAGGGAATGGCGAATAGATGGTTTATTGGTATCAGAAGTCTGGTCATTACTCAAGTTCAGGGCTGCAGAGATAGGGAAGGACTTTGTTTATAGGCTCTGCCAGTTCCAAAGACTTTAGGGATACCCCAGGGCACCCACCCCTGCTTCAGTTAAGGCACGACTAGGTCTCCTTTGATTTGGGATCGCTTCTTCGCTTTGAGACTTGGAGTTTCCATCTTTCCAGCAGAGCTGGAGAGCTTTAGGAGGGTTAACGGCCTGCTTTCCTCAGGCTGTGAGACTTTAGCGCATCTTTTTTGTTTTGTTTTGTTTTGTTTATTCAAGTATCCGAAAACACTCTTTCCACTTCCTCCCCTCCTCCCAATACCCTCCCACTCCCCCCACTCCCTCTCCTCCTCCCTCACCATTCCCAAGAGCAGTCAGGGTTTCCTGTCCTGTGGGGAATCCAAGTTCCTACCCCCTCCCTCTGGGTCCAGGAAGGTGAGCATCCAAACAGGCCAGGATCCCAAAAAGCCAGTCCATGCAGACGCAACAAGACCCAGTGCCATTGTCAATGGCTTCTCAGTCAGCCCCCATGTCAGCCACATTCAGAGAATCTGGTTTGATCAAATGCTCGTTCAGTCTCAGTCCAGCTGGCCTTGGTGAGCTCTCATTCGATCAGTCCCCTTGTAACTGTGGGTGAACGCACCCTTCACGGTCCTGACTTGCAGTGCTCCAATGTGGGCCTTCGTCTCTATCTCCATCCATTGTCGGATGAAGGACTTTAGCGCATCTTAAAGATGGAGGTCCATGGTCTCACACAAGCCAGCCCCAGGCATGATACCAGAAGGGCTACTTGGAACTGACGAGAAAGAAAAGTACATCCAAGATAACACATGGAAAGAGTAATGCTAACACATGTGTTAAAAATAAAAAAGAGGAACTATGATGCCAAAAAGACTACAGCACTGTCTCACACACCCGAGCTGTCCCAGGTGGGGAATGTCATGCTGAAGAAGGCAGCTAGGCATTAACAGATGGACAGGTAACAGCTGCTTTCAACAGAATGTCTAGCAGCAGGAGAAACACATTCGTCTTTGAGGAAAATTCTAGGAGATCCTCCCAGTAACCACCATGGTATCTCTAAAGAGTGTAGAGAGCTGGTGTCTTTAATACTTCAGTTAATTGTTATTTGTGTGTGTGTGTGTGTGTGTGTGTGTGTGTGTGTGTGTGCGTGCGTGCATGTGCACACAGGCACGCACGCTCTCATGCCTGTGCACATGCATATGCAGTGGCATGGGCACCCCGTGTGAGTGCAAATGCCCAAAGAGGCCATATAAGGGTGATAGATTCCCCTGGAGCTGAAGTGCCATCATATTCGGGTGCTGGGAGCTGGACTCTGCTGGAGAGAGCGAGTGCTCTTAACTGCTGAGCTGTTTCTCCAGCTTGTAGGCAGATGTATTTGTATACTAGTGCCTGGAAGTTAGGGATGAATCAGGAGCATTATCTGCTTCATGCTTCCCTGTGCATGATGAGCTTCAGAGACCAGGGAAGGCTCCCAGCCAAAGGGTTTCAGGCAGGTTGATGGAAATTGAGCAGATGGAAAGAAAGTATACAGGGATAGGATCAAGCCTCAGGGGACAAGGCAGAGATGACACATTGTAACCATTAGCTCTAATTGTCAACTTGACACAATGTAGAAGAAGAGCCTTAACAAGGGACTGTCTGTTTTGGGTGGGCTTGAAGGAACATCTGGGGGGTAATGCCTTAAGTCAATTGAGGAGAAACCCCTCCTAATATGGACAGCATCATTCTCTAGGTTTGGGCGACCATAGAAGAGTAGAAAAAGCTAGGCACCTGTGCATCTATTCTCTCTGCTTTAGGATGTGATGTAACTAGCTGCCTCAAGTTCCTGCCATGATTTTCCTGTAGTGATGAACTATAACTCAGAAATGTAAGACAACGAATCTGATTCCCCCACCCACCCACCTTGCATTCTGTTAGGATGTTTCCTTACAGCAACAGGAAACAAGAGTACCTGATAAGGAATCAAGGCCTGGGGAGATGCTCAGTGGGCAAGAGTGCTGCCGTGCAAGTAAGAGGGCCTGAGCTTGCACCCCTAGAACTTGTAAAAAGTGAGGTATGGCCACCTATGTCTGTGGCCCCATTTTAGGAGGTGACCAGAGATAGGAGGATGCGGGATTTTCAGGTTGCCAGCCTTGCTGAAAAACCGTGAACTCTAAGTTCTGTTTCAAAGGAATAAAGTGGAGAGCTCTGGGGATACCAGTGTCTTCCTCTGACCTTCAAGCGTATGCATCGGCACATATGTGTGTATACATAACACACACACACACACACACACACACACACACACACACACACACCTCCTCTGATCTTGTCAAGGAAGACAGAGCAAATTAGTGGCAAACACCCAGGTTCTGAATGCATCCCGCATCTGGTAACTATACTGAAGTGTTAAGGTGGAGGACAACTATGAGCCCAAAGCCCAGTGACTCCTGAAAGCCAGAGAGCTAGTACCATTGTGACAGTTAGCTTTAGTTGTTAACCTGACATAACCTAGAATCACCTGGGAAGAGAGTCTGAACGAGGTATTCCTACATTGGGTTGGCCTGTGAGCATGTGTGTGTTGGGAGGTGGGGGTTGTCTTAACTGGCTAGCAGATGTGGGAATATCCAGCCCATTGTGGGTGGTACCATTCCCTAGGCACGAGTCCTGAATTGAATGAATGGGGAAATTGAGCTGAGCACAAGTGAGTGAGTGAGCATATACGCACACACACATTTTCGTCTGTTCCTGACTGTTGATGTGACATGACCAGTTGTCTCAAGTTCCCGTCATCCTGACAGCATGGAATATGAAGTGCTTTTTGTCAGAGCATTTTATCACAGCAACATAAATGAAACCAGGATGAATAATTTTATAAAAAAGAAGCCCAATGCTTTTGTCAACATACTGAGGTCAATGGGCAGGGAGAGGAACGTGAGACATGTCTATCCACCTGGCAGACCAGCATGAAAGCAGATGAGATGAGCTGGCCCTCAGCTGGCAGTGCACGGGCTTGCAGACTTCTTGCAGATCCAGAACTTTTGGAGTTCACATTTGGAGTCATTCCAGCCATCCCCAGCAAATTCCACACAGTCTTCTTCCCCAATATTGTTGGGCTCCCCTCTATTCCAATACTTCTGGAATCTGGAGAGTCAGTCAACAAAACATTAGTTTGCTCCAGTGGCATGCTGCGAACCATGTTCTTAGCTTCCTGAAACTCAATATCTCACATCCCCCTAGAATGCACATGGTGGATGGGCCTTGTTCTGAATCCAGGGACATACCTGAGTAGATGGCCTTGGATTCTGACTCTGGCTATGTCCTATACTGAGAGTGTGATTTTCAGATGTAAACCAACCAATCTGGACTCCACCTTTCTTACTTGGTTCTTGCATTCTGGAATACAACTCACCTGCCCCCATGCCAAGCACTGGACAGCTATGAGTCAGGACCCTGAAATGTCAAACTAATAGATACTAACCCTGCCTCTCCTGTTCCCCTGAATGGAAACAAAGTAAAAGCTCTTTCCACTGCTTGTCCTTCCCTTATATTCTCACTGATTGTGGTTCTTCCCCATGATCTCTGTGCCATGCTGTGGGATCTGGGAGCATCTTTATAAACTATATTTAAGATATCTTTGTCCTTCTCCTCCCCTTCCATTTCCTCCCGTACCCTCTTTTTCCTTCTTTCCCCTTCCTTCCTTTTTACTTTTCCTTTTCACAGACTTTTTGAGACAGGGTCTCATGTAGCCCAGGCTGACTCAGAACTCAGTATGTAAAAGAAGATAATATTGAACTTCCAATCCTTCTCCCATTACCTCCCAAGTACTAGGATTACAGGCATGGATTATCACACTAGATTATGTAGTGCTGGGGATCGAACCCATGGGTTCATCATGCTATTGTATAAGCACATTTATCTATCCAACCCAACATGCCATCTTCCCATGGTAATAGTCCCCTCAATGGTGGCCTTATTTTATTTTGTATTTTCTATTAATACCCTACATTAGCATCCACACCCCTCGGGGGAAACGTCTCTTGCTTTGATGGTGGGATTTGCTGCTATTCTGTCTGTTCATGGGTAGGAAGACCTCCTTCCATCAGCAAATGTGGGTAGCTCTTATTCCTAAGGGACCAGGAAGAGGGAGGCGAACCCCAAAGACAGCTCAAGTCAGAGCATCAAAGACCTGTTTGCATTCCACTATACACGCTGTTTCCTTTTTCTGGCTGTACCTGGATGATAGAGGTGAGTTATTCACCCAGAGCCACGAGCCTTCCTTCTTCAGGTCCGACAGCCCCATCCAGGTTGCTCCTTTAGCTTTGGAAGTCAGCTGCAGGAAGTTCTAGAGGAGAAGAGGAGAGTAGGGAGTATCTCCCTCTCTCCTGCCACTTTAAGCGTGTGCCTCCCCACACTCTTGATGGAAGTTCTACTTGCAATCTGATCTTTCCCTTTCCTCTCGATCAGGCCATGAGCACTCATGTGTACCTAGATGATATCAGCTATTTTCATATCTGGAGACTATGGGCACATGCACTCGGGCACAGCTGGCTTGGCATAGATGCACACACTAATCTCAGAACTCCACAGAATCTCTGTGAGTTCCAGGAAGTACACAGATGGTCTCTCCACACACACACCTGCTAATGTTGCACAATCTCTCTTAAGAATTTTGGGTAACTCTACAGAATTTCCTTATGACTGCCTTTAATGGGCTGGGAGCAGGTTATACTAATTCATAGTTGCTTAAGATGGATACCCCTTATTTTCTGTTCTTCGGTGACCTCCCATTATAAATTTGATATTTCACATGATGAGAATATTTACACCTGGGGAATTGGCAAGCACATTTTTGTGTGTGAGAGTTGTGTGTCTATGTATGTATGTGTTGCCGATATGTGTGTGTGTGCATATGTATATGCGGGTATGCAAGCCATAACATGTATATAGAGGTCAAGGGACAACTTGTGGGGTTAGTTCTCTCCTGAGCTACCGTATCAGGCTGCACACCAAGACTTTTGTCTCTCAGAGAGCAGGTGGCTAAATACTGACCAGCACAGAGCTGATATCTCCTGCATTTCAGGAAACCCCCAAACACTCGCAAATGTTCAGCACATGATTCTAAGTCGAGGGCTTGGGATCCCCTCATTTTTACTCCTCTTTTCCTCCCTCACATAACTGTGGCAAATTGTCCTAATCCCAGGTGATCAGGAGCCAGGTGCTGAGACCAAATCAGGCTGGCATCCCACCAGATATACCTGCTCTTCATCACTTTGGATGATGACCAGTTGAGCCTCCACTTCTTGGCAAGCCTTGACAGCACTGTTCCAATTCAGCTGGTACTTGGAGACGAAGTAACAGTTTCCTAGGAGGAATGTCCAGTCCCAGGGGCAGGGGCGACACAGGCGGACTGTTGGGGAAGTGGGTTAGGATGGACTCACACCTGGATGCCTGTGTTCCTGTGCCTGCTTAGCCTTCAGGCTCTCCAGAGACAGGGTCCTCCCTTGACACAGCATGTTGGTGAACCATTCCCTTTCCACTTTCTTTGCTCCTTTGCAACTCTTGGGGAATTCAGGAGTCCTAGTTCCACTTCCACCAGACTGGAAGAAGTAGGGACTTAGAGCTAAGAACTAAGGCCAGGAGATGGGCTCATGGCCTTTGTGAGCACTGGGTGCCCGCAGCGTGCACAATTGCTATGAACACTCAGTGTCCACTGTGTGCACGCCCCTGTGAACACTGAGTGCCTGCTTTGTAAATGGTTCCTGTGACCATTTAGTGCTTGTTGTTTGCATGTAAATACCCTGTAAATACCAAGTGTTAATTCAGAGGATGGAACTGAGGTTCGAAGATGTCTGAGGACTCAAGCAAATTGACCCACAGTAAAGATCACCCGAGGCCCCGAGGCCTCTGGTCTCTGTTCACTCACAGAGGTCAGCCTTCATCTGCACCAGTTGCTGGTAGATCTTTTCCTGCTTAGACTGGTTCTGGACCTGGATGTTAAGGATACTGGAAACTGGGCCAGGAAAAAAGAGGGGGAGCTGCAGTTATTAAACAACTACGGTGTGCATTGACTTGAGCTGGGTCCCCAGGGACATTATGCCATTTCTCTCTTGAGATGAATCTCCCTCTGTGGCCAAAACCTCTCAAAGTCCTGGGCATAAGGATACACCATCTCTCAGCTTCCCCGTGAAGCTTGGACTTTAGGCATGTGTCACAACCCAATGTCGGGAGCTCCTCTCAGGTGAAGCTTAGGACACCTAATACTCTTGGCCTTTTTCTTCTAGATGGTGAGAAGTAGGGACCTAGAGCTCAGAACAGAGGCCAGTAGACTGGGTTAACTGACTGCCTACTGTGCGCTTCATGAATATTGTGTGATGACTCTTCACAGTCCCCGTGATCACTGACTGCCTACTGTGTGCACAAATTCAGTGAAGATGGTGATCCTACTGTGTTCATGGCACAGCTGATGTGAATGTGATTGAATATGGAATGAACCAAGAGACACAGCTTGGGACAGAGAGGTGAGGGTATTTCCAGGAAAGAGGAACAGGACAGGAAAGACCTGTACCTAGTGGGCAGCACCTTCCAATGCTGGTTCAGACATATAGAAGCCAAGGGAAAAACAGGGCTGCTGCTGTTTGTCCATCTTCCCATCTATCTGTTGTCATCTCTGGTGTTTTGCTGATGTTAATCCCTGCTCCTTTCAGTCTTTCATTGTGACCTGAAGGACGGTGGCTCTCTAGGAATCCTTCAGGGTCCCAGACTGGACACTGAGGCATCCAGCCTTGTGGACTGAGTGGCTACTGGATTTTCAGACTTTTGATAAATATTCTTTCTATAGAGTTCGTTCTTCCAAAGAACCTGACCAATGCAGGCTTTGCAAACATTGAAAGTCTACCTTGTATATGGTCTCTATGAACACTAAATGTCTACTGTGAACAATGAGTACTTATTGTGTGTGTGGTCCCTAAAAACATTAACTGTCAAGTGGGTGCCCAAAATTTCCATGAACATAGAATACCTAGTGTGTGCATGATCCCTAAAACACTTGGCACTTACTGTGTGCATGCCCCTTATGAACAGAACATTGAGTACCTACTGTATGAACAGTTTATGTGTCCTTATGAACACCGAGTACCTGGTGTATGTATGTTTCCTATTGACATTAAAGGCCTATTGGGTGCCTGCCTCTGTAAACATCATGTGACATCTTTGTTGTCACTTATGACCCTGAGTCACAGATGAGAAAACTGGGGCATAAAGAGCTCTGTGGACTCAAGAAAATTGACCCCTATAGCAACCCAAGGTCTTAGAACCTCTGGTTTCTGTTCACTTACGGAGTTCAGCTTTCATCTGCACCAGTTGCTCAGAGATCTGCGAGGACTCATCCCGCCCCTGGGAGATGGGGATCCTGGAGACTGTGCCAAGAAAATAAAGAACTGCCATTATTAAATACCTACTGTTTGTCATGACCTGCACTGGGTCCCTGGGGATCTTTTGTTTTATGGACCCCACTGTGTAACAGATTGTCACAAATTCCCTGGCACAAATGAGCATTCCTTTTCCAATTCCCTAATGACTAGGATACAGGCATTGGCCACTGTCTCAGCTTCTGGTATGGATTCTGATTGATGTCTTCTTTAATCTCCATTGGAGACTGAGAAACTGAATACCTAGAGTGTCTAGTCCCAGGGAGGGAGTGGGTCACGATGAACCCACACTTGGACACCCATATTCTTTGTCTGCTCAACCTTCAGGCCCTTCAGAGTGAAGCTCTTCTCTTGACACAGCACCCTGGGTCACTATTCCCTTTTCTGCTTCCCAAATCCCTTCCCAGGCCCAGGAAAGCCCAGAAGTCCCCATCCATCTCCTCTGACTAGAAGGAATAGACTCAGAAGAGACACCAAGGGATTGAGTTCACACTGTGCATACGAACATTAAGAACCTCTGAACATTAAGAGCCTGATGTACGCATGGCGCTTGTGAGCATTGAGTGCCTACCCTGTGTATAACTCCTACAAACTCAAGTGCCTACTGTGTGCACAGTCCCTGCAAACAGCAAATGCCATCCTTGTTACTCTGTGGTTTCCCTTCACAGATGAGAAAACTGAGGCTCAGAGAGGTCTGAAGCTCAAGAAAATTGACCCCCTACAGAGACCCAAGGCCTTGGATATCTGCTTTCTCACTCACGGAGTTCAGTCTGCAGCTGTGTCAGTTGCTCGGAAATCTTCTCCTGCATGGACTCGTTCTGCCCCTGGGAGCTGGGGATCTTGGATGCTGTGCCAAGAAAAAACTGCTATTGTAAATACCTACTGTGTGCCATGACCTGCACTGGGTCTCCAGGGTCATTGTGCTATTTTTTTTATAAAAGTTTATTAATTTATAAAAGTTTCCATTTCTGCCCCTCCTCCCAACACCCTCCCACTTCTCCCACTCCGTCTCCTCCTCCCTCTCCATCCCTAAGAGCAGTCAGGGTTTCCTGCCCTGTGGGAAGTTCAGGTTCCTCCCCCCTCCCTCCAGGTCCAGGAAGGTTCATTGTGCTATTTTAAAAAGCATTTGAATGTGTGTGTGTGTGTGTGTGTGTGTGTGTGTGTGTGTGTGTGTGTGTATGAGAGAGAGAGAGAGAGAGAGAGAGAGAGAGAGAGAGAGTAGGTCAGAGGACAACTTGTAGGAGTCAGTTCTCTCATACTATGCAAATTCGAGGGATTGAATTTAGGTCATCAGTCTTGGAAGCAGGCACTTTTATCTGCTAACCTACTGAGCCAGCCAGGTGTCATTTTATTTTGTAGGTAAGTCTCACTTGGTGTCAGTGCCTCTCTCAAACTCATGTGGAGAAATGACCACCCCTCTCTCAGCTTCCCTGTAGCTCAGACTGCAGGTAGGTGCTGCCAGTCCAGCACCTAGGACAGTTTCTGATTCATGTCTTCCTTAATCTCCTTTGAAGACTTGGAAACTGCTGGGCGGTGGTGGTGCACGCCTTTAATCCCAGCACTCGGGAGGCAGAGGCAGGAGGACCTCTGTGAGTTCAAGGCCAGCCTGGTCTACTAGAGCTAGTTCCTGGACAGGCACCAAAACTACAGAGAAACCCTGTCTCAAAAAACAAAACAAAATATAACAAAACAAAACAAAAAAGACTTGGAAACTGAACACCCAGAAGTATTTAGTCCTAGGAAGAGGGCAGGTCACAATGAACCCACCCTTGGATGCCCAGTTCTTTGTCTGTTCAACCTTCAGGCCCTTCAGAGTGACAGAGCATCCTAGGGAACCACCCCCTTCTTTAAACCCCCTCCACACCGTAACCCTGGGAGTCCCAAGTATTATGTTGCAGACTGGGAGAAATTGAGGCTTAGCAATCAGAATAGAGACCAAGAGAATAGTTTGAGTACCTACTATGTGCACACCCCCTGTGGGCATTAAATGTGTACATAACCCCAGAGACCAGGGAGTGCCTGCTGTGTGTGCACCCTCTGTATGTATTATAAGCCAAGCACAGGCATGTCCTCTGGGCACATTGAATACCTACTATGTACACAACCCTTATGAACACTGAATGTTGACTGTGTACACACCCCCTGTGGATACTGAGTTCCTATTGTGTGTATAACCCCTGTAAATATCAAGTATCATTTTTTTATTGTTATCCTGTGGTCTCAATTCACAGAGGAGAAAACTGAGGTTCAAAGGGATCTGATAATTTAAGAAAATGGACTCCTTTCCTACGGAGCCCTCCCGAAGCGCCGGCACTTCTGTTTTGAGGTCACTCACAGAGTTGGTCTTTCAGCTGGTCCAGTTCCTGGGCAATCTCTTCAAGCTTAGATTCCTCTTGCCCCTGGGTATTTAGGGTCTTGGAAACTGAGGAGGGAAAAAAATTTTCATCAGTAAATGCCTCTTGTGTGCCATTTTTAAATGTCTTATTTTGTTGCCCAGACTTCTCTCATATTCTTTGGCACAAATGATCAGTGTGCCTCAGCTTCCCCAGCAGCTGGGACTATAGGCACACATCAGCACCCCAGAGTCTAGGGCAGTTTCTCACTAATGTCTTCTTTAATCCTGATCAAAGACCAGAAAACCTACCACTCAGAGAAAGCGGAATCATATGGAGAAATGGATCGAGGACCTAGGACCCACCCTTGTCTCTTTTCTCATTCTGTCCTACACTAGAGATAGGGGCATCCTTAGAGGACAAGCCATCCGCTTCCATTCCCCACTTCCCTCCTAGACCCCAGGAAGGCTCTAGCTGAAGAGCAGGGTCAGAGAGGTGAGGCCTCCATTGTGCCTGACCTTTGACAAGAATGACCAGCAGGAGCCCAGCCAAGAACAGGAAGGAGAGCAAGTGCAGGACCAAGGGGATCCGGCCATGTCTCAGGCGTCCTGCGAGAGAAAAAGTGGACTTTTAAGTATGATAAAGTTCCTTCCTTATGTTGATTCCAGGACAGGTGACCAGCATCCTCCTCCCCCAGCCCATGAATCCAACTCTCAGATTCTACCTCCACATGGCCCATAATTTCATTCCCTGCCCTCAATCTCCTCATAGCCTGTGATTTTCTGCTCCCTACGCCACCTCTCCAAAGCCTGGATTCCCTACCTCAGGTTCCACTTCCCTAAGACCCTTAATTTCTTGGTGTACCGTCCATCTTCCCAGGACCCTCAGTTCCCAACTTCCACTTTACCATGGCCCAAGTTTCCTTGTCCTAGCCTCTATTGCCCCATGGCCCATGACTATCTTCCCTGGCCTCTCTTCCCATAACTGCCTACCCCAGCCTTCCCGGTGGCCCATGATTCCCTGCTCCAGCCTCTCTCTCCCCAGGAAACAAGTTTAGAGTTAAAGACTTAAAGACTTAAAGACTTCCTCTCTTTAAGACCCACTCTGGGGAAGACTGTCCACTCTTCCTCAGCCCCTCACCCGGCCGGACCTGCTAAACTCTTGGTTCCAGAATGTGGTCGTAGTCTGGAGCTTTTGTTAGAACACCCGGTGTCACTGACCATCCACTCTTCGTCCTCTGAGGGAACAGAGCACCAGTCAGCGCCTGGGCAGGCTCAACTCCGAGCTGCCCCCACTGGTTTCCCTCACCGTGCTCCCACAACCCCAGCCCGGCCTCACCCACAGAACCCAGCTGCTGCATCCTGGCCTCTGTGGAGTCACCCATGGTCACCACTGTGCTCTGGTGTCTGGGACTGCCGGAGACCACAGCATTTATCCCCTGATGTTCTCTAAATGCCCTTTCACTCAGGAAGGGGAAAAAGGAAGCCCATGAATTGCAGAAGAGCCGGAGGGAGGGACTGCACCTTTCACATGGCCTATCTTGTGCCAGATAACTAAAGGCTTAGATTTATTTTTAAAGGAGGGGTTGGAAAGTTTGGGGTTCTGTAGCCGAAAAATCTGGTGTGTTGATGGTGTGACCAAGTTATGGGTATCTTTTTTAAAGCCAATAGGTTATCCGATGAGTCTGCTTTGCTATGTCCTTTCCACCTATGCTGAGTGTAAGAAAGCAACGCCCCATCTTCCAAGTTCCTCTCTCCTCTCTGACTCCGAACTGTATTGCTTTGCTGGCTCCTGATTCATGGACATTTCTGCTGATTTTGTTGTTTTCATGCTCCTGTCAATTGAGCACCTGCTGCCATCATGACATCTGACTACTGGATGGACTGTCTCAAACCTTCCCACACTGCGGTGGCTGAGAAACTGCATAACCAGATTAGGTAACTGTCTAATAATAGCCACACAGCTGGTCCTTGGTGAAGCTGGGGATTTGAAGAGGGGCAATCCACCTCTGTGTTGGAACCAAGGAGAATCAAATAGTCCCAAGGAGGAAATATAAAGTTCCCTAGCTATGCCAAAATCACAGAATTTTGAAAAAAAAAAAAAAGCTGGTGAGGTGGTTTATATACAGTGCTTATTGCACAGGTACCAAGATCTGAGTTCAAATCTCAGTACTCAAGTAAAGAACCCGAAGTTGCAGCACACATCTAACTCTAGTGTTGTGGGGGAGTGGAGGCCGGATGATCATGGAGCTCATTGTCCTACAAACCAAGTCAAATTTTTGAGTTCCAGGTTCAGAGAGATCCTATTTCAAAGCATAAGATGGGGGAGGGTTGAGGATGACACTGATAGAAGCCTTGTGCAACACATACACACAATAACCATAGCTAAAAGGACATATGGAATATTACAGCAGAAAAGAGACTGAGAGGTTAGCATGGAGGATAAGGGTTATCAAAGGAACTGGAGAGGTGAGCGTGATATAGAAGAAAAAGTAATAGAATTGATTATTAAGGTTTTACAAATAGGTTTACTTAGAAGATATTAAATCATGTAAACCAAAATTTGGCTAAGGGAGGCCACCCCCAAAATACCTCAGAGATGATAACATCTTAACCAGGCCTGTTAGAGATAAGCTAAATTTGTGATTCTAAAAATGTTTGTTTACCGGGATTATCAGCCATTATACTCTATCCCAGAACAAAGGTGGCAACCCTGACCTACAGCAGCCGTTAGGCCCATCCTTATATCAAAGCCTCTATGGTAGCTTAAGGAGGCAGCGCAAGGTGACAGCCAATGGTAAGTCCTCACCTGCCTTAAAGCCCCTTGCCTTCTCCTTGAGAAAAGCATAAATCTGTCAGGCGGGCAGGATGATCCCAGGTAATAACCATTTGAAAAGAATAACACTGATACACTTAAAATAATTCTGGTAGTATCTCAGTCGTGCAAAAACTCCCATTGACCTAAGTGGGGACAAGTATCCTGTTGTTAATCCCACCAATCAAGAATAAGACAACTAACACAATTTAAAGCCAAATTTGAAGCAAGCTTTAATTAAATACTGGCCAGGTGGATGCCCAATTTCCCAGGAAATGGACAAGAATCAAGCATGGCAAGGACTTAAGAAGGAAAACCCACGAATCATTGCATTTCCCATCAGGTCCAATCAGGGGCAAGCGCATATCCCGACTCTTTCCTGTCTATGTACCTCCTGTCCCCATGTGGTCAAGTACATCTATTGCAGATGGGTCAAACAAACTTGTTTAGGGGAATGAAAAAACATATGGCTTGTTATCTCTCATAAACAGCAGCCTCCAGCCTTTCAGGAACTTTCTGTCCTTAGGCAAGGGCTTACAGACCAGAGATCTGGTCTGGTTTCATGGATCTCTTAGACATAGTAATCAAAACTTTAAATGTCACTTTAGCTCTGACATTCCCACCTTGAGTTGTATCCTGAGTCAAATCCTTGACTCTGTGATGGGTACCTGTTTATACTGGGATCTAATATCCATCAGCTTAATGGTACCCAGAGAGGCGTTATCATTTAGTTAAAGCGTCAATGATGCAAGAGTCAACAGCAATTAGAAGAAAGAGAAGGGTCAAAGGCTCTGTAATGGTTGGCAGTGCTACTATCTAGAAGGAACCTGGAAATGATAATGGAGACCAATTATTTACTTCATCTCAGGTTTCCTCCCCTTTTTTTCCTTAGTAAAGTCACATTATGTCTAATGATTCCTGAGTGGTTTATATAGAAATAGCAATTTTCTATTAAAGTTGTAAAATTACCTCTCTATGCTCTATGTATAGCACTATTTCAGCTAAGAAATCTTCCTATTGATGGATCTGGGTGATTTGGCTCTAACAGGTATCTTTTCTGGGCCAATAGGCACTACAGGTAGCTATTTTATCCCCTGTGACAGGATTTTCTTTTGATCTAACAGTCCAGCCTGTTAGCAAGACAAATCTGCTTACCTTTTCTCTACTGGAGACCTAGTAGCTCTAGAAAAGGCAAAGCTTGATTTTTACATATAAACTAACAAGGTGGCTATAACCCTGGGGAAGAATCTGATTTCTTGCTGTTGCTAAGCTGACAAAGTTATGGTTAGTCTAGTCATCAATACCATTAGAGATCTGAGAAGGATAAATTACAGCAGAAAATATAACAAATGGCCTGTGTATCAACTAAAATGACAAAGACTAGCCCATTACCTAGATAGCCATCCCATGCTCCTGTGGTCTCTAAAGCACTGGGGGCAGAGGTACCAGGACAGCATCCATCTTTGGTTGCCAGGCCCAGAAGGTGAGAGTTTTTCCTGTGAAGGAGAAACATGGGGGGAAGATTGACCTTTCTTTGTCTAGGCAAAATGGGGCAACCAATTCTCCAGTATCCTGCTTGTCCACAGTTTGGGCTGGGTCCTGGTGGCAGATGCTGTTTTGGGTCATTCTTGCCCAGTAGTTAACGTTTCCACAGTCCAGGTGGAGTCATTGTGGTGCCCTGCCATCTTCCTTGGAAACCTTGGGGTTACTGCTAGGAGCTGGGACTCTTTCTCTGTCCTAGTAAGCTTTTTCCATTAAACATTTTAAAAGCCATATTCGTCAGATCTCTGACAAGTTTGAGGACCATTATCTATTAACCATATCTGAGCTAAACAAATCTAGGCTTAACCTTGAAAACATATCTAACATGACTACAAATTTGGTTATTATAGATGATTATTAATCTGTATTTCTTAATTATTTATTATCTTTTTAAAAGAGTCACATAGGCACAATACCTTAAACGAGAGTAGAAACACATATAACTAAAGTAACTAAATTTGTATCACTATAGAAAAATTCATACCTATGTGAAATATTTGAGATTAATAGTTGTTTTTTAAAAATAAAATTAACGATCTACCTTTTTATCATATCATTTTATTTTAAAAGTAGATTCAATAATTTACCTTTTAAAATTATCCCCCCTTTCGGAAGAAGATTCCTGAATCTAACCTCCTTTGTTTAGTTTCATCCCTGACCATAACCAATAACAACTTGCAACTAACCCCACCAAACAATAACAAACACCCCTGGAATGACCAGAAACCATCTACCCCATCTCTTGGGAATGTGGACATTATATTTTTTAGACTGCTTCCTGTTGTCTGGGGAGATGGCATCTCCAGGGAATCCTGAGGAAATTGAGACTCTGGTGAAGTCCTGGGAAAACTATTTGTTGTCCAGTCTTAGAACTGTTACCTTGCAGAGGGATCTGTACATATGTCACCTGTCTTGTAGGTTTTCTTGGTTTGTTTCTTTATGTCTGTAGTCAAGATTTTCAAGTCTCCCCTGATCAAATCTGATTTCTATTAACCTCGAAGGAATCCATAGCCTTTCATTTACTGTGGAAACAAAAGCATAACCTCTTCCCCAATGCAATACATTTTCTGACTTCCATTCTGAAGTCAAGACATCCCTAAAGTATATAGGCTGGTTTAATTTAGCAGTTCCTGTTATAATTCAGTGTCTCTTAGCAGCTGCCATGCACTCACCCAACATTAAAAAAATTCGAAGTCAACAAAGCAACACGTAGGATCTACGTGCCCTCTGTATTTTCCATCCTTACCTGGCTTATTTTTTATATTACTCTTTTCTTTCTTTAAAGACTTTAGTCAAATTTTTCTTAGTTATCTTTAATAGTTTAGAATAATTTATTAGCTTTCATAAGACTAGGACTTGCTTTTGTAGGGCTTGTGAGCAGGGATTGAGGAAACCTAGAGGCTAGTTTACCCTTGACATGTTACTAGGCACCACAGCCTTATATTAATGGTAGGACTACAAGTTCCTTTTATCAGAGATAAGGTGAATGACTCCCTTTTTAGCAAGTAGGAAATTTCTTTAAGTCACTAAGGGAATGGAGAGTTTATCTAAATGACTGATCTTGGGAAAAGGACTTTATAACTTTTGTTTGTGTTGGAAACATCACCCCAGCCCTTGGCATTCATCATTGGGATGCCAATGGAGCACCAATGGAGCATAGAGCTCCATCTCAAGCCCCTTCCCCCTAGGAGTTGCCTTAGTTTGGACTCCACCTCTGGAAAAACCCGCCAAGTGCTGACTTCTCCCAAGGGAGGGTCAGCATCACTCCCACAGGCTATTTAGGCTGATGCTGAGAAAAAGAACATGTTGTGTTTGGGTTTTGTGTGGGAACTCCTCCTTCCCTGCCATGCTTTCCCAGCCACCCGGAAAACTGCAGTAAACATGGGCATTGATTTGGTCTGTAACATAATTGCTGACTTGTTGGGGTTTCTGTTCTGCCCAGTCACAGCCAGTAACCCCCAAAGAAATTACACAGAGGTCTACATAACTTATAAACTGATTGGCCCATTAGCTCAGGCTTGATATTAGCTCTTATAATGTATACTAGCCCATTATTCTAGTATATGTTAGCCACATGGTTCAGTAACT